GTGCGAGCGTGCGTGCGTGCGTGTGGGTGTGTGGGTGGGTGGGTGGGTGGGTGTGGGTGCGTGTGTGTTGTGTTGTGTGTTGTGTGTTGTGTGTGTGTTGTGTGTGGTGTGTGGTGTGTGTTGTGTGTGGTGTGTGTTGTGTGAGTTGCGTGAGTTGTGTGAGTTGTGAGTTGTGAGTTGTGACTTGTGACTTGTGAGTTGTGAGTTGTGAGTTATGAATTGTGAGTTGTGAATTGTGAGCTGTGACTTGTGAGTTGTGAGTTGTGAGTTGAAAGTTGTGAGTTGTGTGTTGTGTGTTGCGTGTTGTGTGTTGTGTGCTGTGTGCTGTGTGTTGTGTGTTGTGTGTGCGTGTGCGTGTGTGTGTGTGTGCGTGTGCGTGTGCGTGCGTGTGCGCGTGCGTGTGCGCGTGTGTGCGCGTGTGTGTGCGTGTGTGTGTGTGTTGTGCGCGTTGTGTGTGTTGTGTGTGACTGTGTGTGTGTGTGCACGTGTGTGCGGGTGTGTGGCGGCCGCTACCGTCCGCGGCTGCCGCCCTTTCAGACTGACCATCCCCCGTCCCGCCCTCCCTGCCCCAGCCCCGCCGCTCCCTCCGCCGCTGCCCCTCGCTCTCTCCCCGCTTGCGCGCCTGCCGGGCCCCGGCGCGCCTCCCCGTGCGGCCACCGGCCTCGCCGCCCCGCCGAGACCAGCGCGACGCGGGGCGGACGCTCGCCGAGGGAGAAATGCTCCTAGGCGGCCCACCGGCGTCGCTGCGTGTGCTCGATAGATCGTGCAGCACCCTCTTCTGCACGCGCGGCCCTCCTTCGCTTGCCCCCCATCGGCACACGCTCCGTGGTATCAGCGCAGCGTGACGGGCCCTTGCCTTTTTCTGCTTGTTTCGCCTCTTGCGGGTCAACACATTGGGCCCAAAGCATCGCGCACAACAGCATTCGTTCACAGGGATTTGAAAAAACTCTCTGCGCACGCGCTTGCCTCCCAAGAAATCCGCCGATCCGGCGTGTGAACTACGAGGAACCGCAGCAAGAGCTCCAACTCTGAGCCTAAGCAAGAGCTTCAGCTCTGCTTGGGGGGGTCGCCGGGGTGGCTCTGGCATCCAGACTCCCCCGGGGAAGGGGGGGAGGAGGGGGGGGCGGTCCCCCATCTGGAGTTTTCTTAATGATTTGCGCATCCCCAAGATATTTCGGGGTGTCCCAGGGACCCCCCTCAGATCTAGCCGCTACCGCCCCCAGGACCCTCCCCTCGGAACCCTCCCCAGACCCCCCCCCCCGGGACCGCTCCAGGCACCCCCTAGAGGAGAAGAAAGAGGACCGGGAGAATCGAGGAGGGAGGAGGCCGCAGAGCCGCGAAGACCACCGAATCCGGAGCCCCCTGGATCGGCAGCACTGGCCGGAGGCTATTGCAATGACTTCCATAGCATCTGCCCCTCGGGCGCCCCCTCGCTTCCCCCCTCAGCCCACCAACCCACCCCCCTCCCCCAGGCGCCCGCCCGAGCGCCGTCGCAGATTCGCGCGGCAGCGCAACTGGATTAGTGCAACTGGGCCCATCAAGAAGAACGCTAGAAAATACAGAATCAAGATCGGGTTGTTATACATCAGCGGCCTGTAAATGGATGCCGCGCTATCGACGAACATTATCTGCCAAAGCGTCAGCATGGCGTCCGCGATCGAGTTGAAATTCTGAGCAGCCATTACGTACTCGTTGTCTCTGTCTGCCCTGGTGTCCGTAATCATTTCCATGCCAAGAACGGCGAAAACATATATGACGACAACCATGAAGAAGCAAGTCCAAATCATGGGCACCACCGCATGTATCAGGCCGCAGGACAGCAACCAAAGCGTCCGGAACTGAACGGCAAGCCGTATAATCCTGGCTAGGCGAATCAGCCGCAGCACCTTCAGCATGTTGAAATTACCAAGGGGATGCCCAACGTCTGGCGTAAACACAGACAGCGCAACGTTCGCCACTCCGATCACCACGAAGAAAATATCGAGCTTGATCCATGGGTTCCTCAAGGACTCCCGCACGCCCAGCGCAGCGAAGTTCAGGCCGAGCTCCGCCATGTAAACGGCCATGAACACGTACTCGCATGCTTGAATGAAAGACGCGACCTGTTCTCCGCCGACCGAAGCCGATGTTAGAAAAACAAAGAACTGCACAGATATATATATATATATAAATAAATAAATAAATATAAGCATATGAATACATAAATGTGAGTATGTGGGGTTATGAGGTCCGGGCGGATTTGTTAGATCGGCGCTGGACCTCCCTCTGGCGCCGCCAGGGGAGCCCAGCGCCGATCCAAGAAATCCGCGCGGACCGCGCGGACCTCCGAGAAACTACTTATACTTGTGCCGTTTTTTGCTCTTCGAGATGTCTCGATCCCAATCGTAATGGCGTTGAGAACGATGACGACGCCTATGATGACGTCGAAGTGGGCCCACGTGAACACCGCGCGCGCCCTCTCGCCCACGTGCGCCCAGCAGCACAGCGTGTGCAGCTCCATCGTGGGCTGGGGCGCGCCCAGCGCGAGCCTCGAGCGCGCCTCGAGGCTGGCCGCGAAGGACGGGGCAGCCCCGACGAAGGCAGGAGAGGAGAAAACGGCACGGGCACAAACTTCTGCAGGACGAAGCTCACGCAGCCTCGTCTTTGTCGGGGGGGGGGGCGACAGAATCCGTGCCCGAAAATCTGCCCGAGTCTGACCAAGAGCAGCGCCCGATGTTTCAGGACGCGCCAGATTTTAACTGATTGGTTCGAAATCGGACTCTCGGAGCATCGCAGAACGCTTCCAGAGCGTTCCAGAACGCTCTGGAACAATATGTCCCTGTCCTAGCCCCGCCCGGCCCTCCCGTGGCGCGCGGAGTGCGCTAGGGCGCCCCAGGAAGCGCCGCCGCGGGACCAGAAGATACCGACACCGCTGCTCCCTGGACTTCTCCCGAGGTGGGTTCTGGCCAGGAGGCCGAGGAGAATCCAGCGGTGGCCACGAGGGCTCTCCAAGACGAGCAGCGGCATCGGCACCTCTCTTTCTTAACGGGCGAAGAACGGTATAAAATAAACTTTTTCGCTGTCGGGGGCGCCTGCCCCTGGGCGGCTGGAAAGCTTATACCCCTACGGTGCCGCCGTAAGGGTATGAACTTTCCAGCCGCCCAGGGACAGGCGCCCCCGACAGCGAAAAAGTTTATGTTATACCGTTCTTCGCTCGCTGAGAGATGCGCGCAGGCCTTGGGAAGTCTGTGCTCGTGCCGTCGTCTGCTCTTCCCCGAAGTCGGCGAGGGACCCGAAGGACTCGGCGCCTCCGTTGCTCGACCGCCTGGAGGTCCTCTCCGGCGGCTTCTCCGCGGACCCGTCGCTGCCGAGCCTGAGCTGGATCGCGTCGCGAAACGAGAGCTCGGATCGGAAACCATGACGAACGAACAACACACACCCATACCCATAAGGGGGTCGTTGGGAGGAGGACTGGCTATGGGTATGGGTGCGGGTTGTCGGACCCTAGGGAACGCTCCCGTTCGAGCGGGGACCCCCATCCGACAACACGCACCCATAGCCCTTTCCGACCCCCCTATGGGTATGGGTGTGTGTTGTTGGTTCGTCAAACCAGGGCTGAACCTAAACGGTGTTCTTCATATTCGTGTTGTTATTCGCTTTCCCCCGTTTGGTCTTCAATACACACCTCTAGCGCAGAACGGAGTCGAAACGAGAACGGCCCACGAGATCGCCAAAACACCGCTCAGGTCCAGCCCTGTCGGAAACGAGTCGGATTGCCAGCGAATCGGGTCGGAAGCAAATCGGACCGCCACACCCATCTCTGGCTTTCCCTATCCGATGCCGGCGAATCGAGCCAAGCCGAATCGAATCAGAATCGCGGCCTGGGCTGGCGAATCGCAGCGCCACGAAGCGGATCGTCGACGGCCCCGGCTGGGCCCCGAGCACCTGCGAGAGCCGTCGATCCCCCAGGGACTCCCCACAGTGTCGTAGCAGTGGGGCTTGGGCGTCTCCACCTGGGCGGGCACAAGATTGATTACCTACCAGACCACCCCAACTCAACCCGAAGACGCGAATTTCGGGTTGGGGGGGATACGGGTTCCACATGTGTTTTTCCAATGTTCCACGAACCCCCCCCACTGGAAGAGGAGGGCAAATTGAGGTCTTCGGGTTGGGTTGGGGTGGTTTGGTGGGTGGTGAAAGATCAGTAAGCATCGAGTCGGGAGACCGGATCGGATCGGAGCGTGCGTCGGATCGGCCAATACAGGCGCGCGGTCGGAATCTATTCGGATCGGCCGGGCCAACACAACAGCGCCATGCATGCGTCGGGCCGCGTCGGACGGTCGGAAAATCGGAATCGAACCAGACCAGATCGACGTCGAACCGGATCGATCGAATCGATCGACCTGAGCGGCCGAACCCAGGAAATGGCACGGAAAAGGCACGCTCACTCTCACTCATGTATATGTGCACGTATGTAGAGAGAAACCTACATGAATATGTAACTATAGATGTGTGTATAACTGTGTGTGCGCGAGTGTGTGTGTGTGAGTGAGTGAGTGAGTGAGTGAATGCGTATGTGTGTTTGTGTGTGTGTCTGTGTCTGTGCTGTGTGTGCATGTGTGCGTATGTGTGTGCGTGTGTACATGTGTGCATGCGTGCGTGTGTGCGTGATTGCGTGCGTGCGTGTATGCGTGCGTGCGTGTGTGCGTGAGTGCGTATGTGCATGTGCGTGTGTGTGTGCGTGGGTGTGCGTGTGTGTGCGTGTGTGTTTGCATGTGTGCGTGTGTGCGTGCGTGCGCGCCCGTGCATGCGAGCGTGCGCGTGCGCGCGGGCGCGTGTGAGCGTGTGAGCGAGTGCACGTCGGATTCAACCTTGACCGCCCTCCAGCCCCCCCCCCCCCTTGACCGCGTCTCGCAGCCGCGGGGGCACCTCGGGACACCACGGCTTCAACCTCGAGCGCCCCCCAGACACCCTCCACTGACCGCGTCTCGCGGCAAGGGGGGCGTCTAGGGACATCACGGCTTCAACCTTGGACGCCCCCACCCCCCGGGAGCCCCTTTGACCGCGTCTCGCGGCTGGGGTAACGCCCCAAGACACCACGATTTCGACCTTGGACGCCCCCTGGGGCCGCCCGCTGCCATTTCCTCCCTCCTCCCTCCTCCCCCTGGGGCCGCCCGCTGCCATTTCCTCCCTCCTCCCTCCTCCTCTTGCTCCTCCTCGTCCTCCTCCCCCCGTCCTTCGTCCTTTGCGTCCTTCCTGCCCTTCCCGTCTTCTGAATAATGCTAAGCATCCCCGTCCCCGTGCGAATGCCTCTTTCCCTTTCTAATCCGAATCCTCCTCTTCCTCCTCCTCCTCCTCCTCCTGCTCCTCCTCTTCCTCCTCCTCCTCCTCCTCCTCCTCCTCCTCCTCCTCCTCCTCCTCCTCCTCCTTTGTCCTTATGAATAACTCCTCCCTGCCCCCCCCCCGGGACGCGTTCGTAGGGCGGGCCAGGCGTTTCGCCTGCGACTTCCTCACAGTGTATGATCCTCTAGCTTGAATGTTGCAACAGTTTCACGGGTGGAAGGCGGATGGTTTTCAAAACCCTTAGCGCGACGCACATTCGTCCTAAAAGCTTGCAATATTCTCACAAATGGAGGGCAGATGGTTTTCAACGTCTTCAATGTTTGAAAAAGCTTCACAGATGGAGAGCGGGCGGTTTCAAATGTGGTTGTCGCAGTGGCGTCGCGCACATTCGTTCCAAAAGTTTGCAAGATCTGCGCGGATGGTTTTCAACATGTGGCTCTCGTACCAGCGCCGCGCCCATTCGTCTGTAAAGTTTGCAAGAAGTTCACGGACGGAGGGCGGGCGGTTTTCAAAATGTGGCTATCGCCTCAGCGCCGCGCCCATTCGTTTTCAAAGTTTGCAAGCGTTTCACGGATGGAGGGCGGGAGGCTTTCAGAAATGTGGCTCTTGCCTTAGCGCCGCGCACTTCCGTCTTAAGAGCTTACAACGGGCTCAAGGTATCTGATGGCTGACGCCCCAAAAATTTTGTTTGACGCAGTGTAGGACTGTCAGGGTGCAACAGTTACACTGGCTCGTGGCATTAAAGTCCAAGGAATGGTGTTCTGGCACGACTCGAGATCGCCAGGGCACAACAGAGACGTTGACTCGCGGCGGTGGGTCCCAGCAGCAGTGTTGTTCTGGCACGTTTCAGAATGTTCAGACCGTTGTCTTCCGACGGCGCACTTCCTATCAAGAGGGATCTTGGAGGGAGGGTGGATTGCAACATCTTTGATGAGCTTTGGGTTTACACTGGTCCTCCTCCTACTCGTTCTCGTCCTCCTCTCCCCGTCCTCGCACTGCTCTCCCCCTCCCCGCTCCGAAGGCACCAACCAGAGGGCACCAGACGCAAGCGACGGCGAGTCGCAGCAGGCAGAGCACGCGAGGCTCGAGAATGTCGAATAGGGTGTCTCACGCCCGGTGTCGCATCCCAGGGAGTGCTGTGATAGGCCCAAGTCCGAGTCGATCTCCTGGAGCCTCTATGGAAATATCGTGTATCGGGGATGGACAGACACACCTTTTGTGAAACGTGGTTTAGTGAAAACGACCTGAGGCCTTAACCTGGCGGGCGCAAGCCTGGAAAATAACGGCCACGGCGCCATCTCGAGAACCGAAAACGGACAATTCACTAGTCGACGTGTCACTGTTGGGGGTTCTGTCCACCCCCGAGTGTATGGCGTGTGCGTGAGGCCCCTGTGGCGCTCATCGGGATCTCGAGAGAGGCCTCTAGATCGGAAGCGATGTCCTCGGAAACCGCTCTGGGAACGTCGATTGGGGTGTAGGGCCTCTCAGAGGCTTCTGGGGGCCTGTTGGGAAGCCTCAAGACCCTATTGGTAGCCTTTGGGGGACCTCTGTGCCGAATATTGATGTCTCGACGGCGGCCTCGAGGTCCAATGAAACATCCCCGGAAACCTCTATGGGAACAGCGCGTAGGATGTGAACGCGTGGCATCTTAGAAGCTTGTTGGGATACTGTGGGAGGCCTCTCGGGAGCCTTCTGGAAGCATGTCGGGGCTTCTTTGAGGCCAGCGGAGTTATCTAACCTAAGCGACTTGGGGCATGTGTAACTCACTGATAAGCCAGGTTGGGCAGAACCTTACCCACCTCATCATCCGCTGATAGCCCCCCTATCCCATTATAGAGACCGGACAACTACGTAGTGTAGTGCCCGGGACACCCAAGTTTTTACGCCCGCCGAGTGCCCAGCGCAGCCTGCACTCGCCGAAGGGATCGGCGCGGGGGTTGCTAATGGCCATGAGCAACCCCTGAGCCGATCCCAGCATGTAGTCGGGCCTGTCCCCCTACAGGGGGGATTTTCGGCGGAAAGTTAAAGATACTCCAAAATACCCAAAAGATACCCAAGAATACCCAAAAAATAGTCCCCTGACCACTTTGCTGGACTGTAGTGAAGGGGCCCTGGGACACACAAATAAATACACACATATAAAAAACTTCCCCATATTTTCGCATATTTCCTGGGTTT